GAGGGGGGTGGGGCATAGCTGGAGGGGGTGCTGTGTGAGACAGAGGGGGCGGGGCATAGCTGGAGGGGGTGCTGTGTGAGACAGAGGGGGCGGGGCATGGCTGGGGTGCTGTGTGAGAGGGGTGGGGCGGGACATGGCTGGGGGGCATGGCTGGGGGGGTTGGGGAGACGCGGGGGCTGGGGGAGACGGAGGGGGTCGGGCATGACGGGGGGCTGTGTGAGCTGGAGGGGGCGGGGCATAGCTGGAGGGGGCGCTGTGTGAGACGGGGGTGGGGCATGGCTGGAGGGGGGCTGTGGCTGATAGAGCTGGAGGGTCCTGCGGTAGGAGCAGCACGGTTACTTCACCTCCATCCAGCCCTGGGGCCCTGCTGCTGGCAGCCCCTGCCCCAGAAAGCCTTTGACAAGGTCCCTCACCAAAGGCTCTTACGTAAATTAAGTTGTCATGGGATAAGAGGGAAGATCCTTTCATGGATTGAGAATTGGTTAAAAGACAGGGAACAAAGGGTAGGAATAAATGATAAATTTTCAGAATGGAGAGGGGTAACTAGTGATGGGTGGTTAAACACTGGAACAAATTGCCTAGGGAGGTTGTGGAATCTCCGTCTCTGGAGATATTTAAGAGTAGGTTAGATAAATGTCTATCAGGGATGGTCTAGACAGTATTTGGTCCTGCCATGCGGGCAGGGGACTGGACTCGATGACCTCTCGAGGTCCCTTCCAGTCCTATAATCTATGAATCTATGATGTTCCCCAAGGGTCTGTCCTAGGACCAATCCCATTCAATTTATTCATAAATGATGTGGAGAAAGGGGTAGACAGTGAGGTGGCAAAGTTTGCCACCTGCTCAAGATAGTTAAGACCAAAAAAGCAGACACTGAAGAACTTCAAAAAGATCTCACAAAACTAAGTGATTGGGCAACAAAGTGGCAAATTAAATTTAATGTAGATAAATGTAAAGTAATGCACATTGGAAAAAATAATCCCAATTATACATACAATATGTTGGGGGCTAATTTAGTTACAACTAATCAGGAAAGAGAACTTGAAGTCATCAAAAAGAACGAGGAGTACTTGTGGCACTTTAGAGATTAACAAATAAGGTGCCACAAATACTCCTCATTCTTTTTCCTGATACAGACTAACATTTTATTGCTGGGTGAGTTAGGGGTACCCCTGTTGTGGCCCCATGTGGCAGGTAGGATTTTAGACAGCTTACGGTCCTTTTTCCTTTGTAGAGAGGTGAAGTGTGTAATGTAGATCTCCTGTCTTATTTTAGTAAAGTCCATTGGTGTGGAGGGTTGGTTATTTATGAAAGTCTCCAGGTTGGAGAGCTCTTTCTTGATGTTTTCTGTTTGCTGTATAGGATGCTGATCAGGTGGTTCCTCAGTTTCTTAGATAATGTATGGCATAATCTCTCACTGTGGTCTGTGCAGTATGTAGATAGCAAGGGATTTTTCACCTTCAGTCCATTAGGTATGATGTCCATATATGATGTTATATATGCCATCATATGCCAGCAATGCCCCTCTGCTATGTACATTGGCCAAACTGGACAGT